AATCACAATGCTCAGAATGCACCAGAGCCCACCATTTGCCTTGTAGATTTCAAAATTTTCACGGGGGAGGGCATGCCCCCAGACCCCACTAGGGTGGCTTCGCCTCCCCGGGGCTCGCCCTATCACCAAAGCCGCGGCACTATTTTATTGCTTCCGACGCCTTTGGACAGCATACCGACCTTCGTGCATGCGTGCGTGCGTGTGTGTGTGTGTGTGTGCGTACGTGCGCGCGCGTTTGTGTTGGTGTGTGCGCGCGTGGGTGCCTCTGTGTGTGCGCGTGTAGGTGCGTGCGTACGTGCGCGCGTCTGTGTATGGGTGTGTGGCAGGGGGTGTGGTATATATGGGTGTGTGGCAGTGCGTGCGTGCGCGTGTCTGTGTGTGCACGGTCCCGCTGAGGCGCCTGCCGACGATGACAGCTTGACGGCATGCAGGCGCCACAGCTCTCGACCAGCGATGACAGTCGTGCCATGCTGCCAGCGCGCGGCACAGCCATGCAAATAACCTGCGTGCGTGCGTGCCGCCGATTCATCATCATTTCATCCGCTAACGAAGCCTTAGCGAAAGTTGTTATTGATTGCCGGCCATGCAAATCCGTTGTAGGCGTGGGCGCGTGCGTGCGTGCGTGTAGGTGTGGGGGCAAACAGCGGGTACGGTGTCGTGTGATCGCCTCGCGTAGTCTTGGCATTGATCTGTCCTCCCCCTCCTTTTTCTTCTCTTCCCCTTCCTCCTCATCCCGCTCCTCCTCTTTCTCCACCACCTCATCCTCCTCTTTCTCCACCTCTACCACCTCCTCCTCCTCTTTCTCCACCTCTACCACCTCCTCCTCCTCTTCCTCCACATCATCCTCCTCTTCCTCCACCTCCTCCACTACCTCCTCTTCCCCCACATCATCCTCCTCTTCCTCCACATCCTCCACCACCACCTCCTTCCCTCCCCCACAGTCTCCTCCCACAGACATCTATTCGGCATCACTGATAGCCGAGGACACCGGTTTTGTGGACATTGATTTTCCCTCGAGAGGCTTTGTGTGTGTTTACTGTATAAGCTGTATATTTCGTGATGGTTTAATTTTCACGAATTTCGTCGAACGCGTCCCCGACCGCGAAAATAACAACACGCGAATCATTACCGAATAATATTCAGTGTAATGATATTTAGTAGATGCTCGCTAGCGACTGATACTGCAGCGTAGGCAAAAATTACTGACGCAGATACACGTTGTAGATTCTGGCTAATAAGCATTGCAGCTGTCCTCTAAGTCGATATCCACTTATGTTCATCTAATTAATATGCAGACTTACCCGGCAACGCTCGTCGATTAAAACTCGTTCTACAGTAACGGCTGGGCTTGTAAGAAAATAGCTGTATGTTGCCACATCGGCTGTATTTTGCAGCGTTGGTTGTATGTTCTATCTTCATAACAGATAACTGTAGCGAATCATCAGGAAAGTGGATTACTGAACGTCTAGGCGATTCCTACTAGTACTAAGACTAGTGTACAGATGGAATTATTCATATCTAACTCATCCGTGTACGTGTCCCACACGCTCGCACGCAGCCATACCATTATGCACGCACGCACGCACGCACGCACGCACGCACGTACACGCAATTCTTGTTAATATTCTTATTAGTTTTATTAATAATATAATATTGTCGCGAGTAATACAATCGGCACACACACATGTCTATCACGTTACGCTCGATATTATTCTATTGAAGAGGTTGACGTGGCATGATCGATAATGGATATAGGTCGTGCTGCAATTCTCAGCAGAAAAACCCTGTATAACCGATATATCACCGTGACAGCGCATACACGAGCGCGTCGCGGCGGTATCACGCGTTCTTCAATGCACCGTTTCCCTAACCCTAACCCTAACCCAAATGACATTGAACCACAAACTAATATATGTATATGTATATGTATATG